GCTTTTGCACCTATCAGTACGGATTTTATTATACTAGACTTATAATTTTTTACTTGGTTGGTAGAACTATTAATAACGCTCTGAGAAAAGTCAAGTTTACGCGAATTCCAATCTATTCGAGGGTTATATTTTTCTAGCCAAGATAAACCTAAAATAACTGGATTGGACGGGGATTTAATTATGTTAAAAGCTATGTAGCTATCATGACCGTCTATTGTTACTTTTATAGGATGAGTTTCATGAGTGACATCTCCAGAAGACAAGGGATGACCATCTATGACTTCTACATGTACTGGTTTAGGTTTTTGTACAAAGGGTATGTTACGACTTTTAACAAATTGTTCATCTAAAAAACATGCTGAGGCTCCCGAATCTAATAAAGCAGAGGCTTTGTAATTCTTAGGTCCTAAATATAAGTCTATTATAAAACAAGGAGAGGGTTCTGAGGAGAGGATAGGACCTTCATTAGGAATTGTACAAGGTTCCAGCTGCACGGTCCCTATTGTAGCTGGACGAATCCGTTTTCCGACATGTTGTCTTCTTTGACCATCGTACCCCTCATTTTATAGTTGCGTCGTTTCTTTGGACAATGTTGAGCAGTGTGCTTAGGTTCTCCGCAATATAAACATAATCCTTCTTGATGACGACGAATCTTTTCTTGCTCAGTTAGGGGTTTAAAACGTACCGCGTCAATTTGCATGTCTTCTACTTCCGAATGTATGTTTGGCAAAGATGTTGATGTTGCCATTGAGTAATAATATTGAGGTTCCCGTGAATGATTCTTGGATCAAAATTCGAAAAGTCGATTATCACATTTTACCGCAAAATCGATTGCTTGACTCAAAGTTTGAGGATCAGGTAAGTTGAGCATCAATTTCTTTACTTTGTATTGCAATCCATAAAGAAATTGACTAATGAGTGCAGCATCATCCCACTTGATGTCAATTGCAAGTTGTCGAAATTGTGAAGCATATACTGTTACTGAGCGATTTCCTTGTCGCAGAATTCGGATCTTATTTGTTGCAACACGAGTTGCATCGTGTTCACCATACATAGATCGAAACTCCACCAAAAAAGCTTCCAAATTGTCCAATATTGGATTTCGTTGTTCAAGAAAAGACGAAAACCATGATAATGCAGAACCAGAAAGTAGAGTGCCAATAAACCTGACTTGTGATCTTGGAGTTGGATAGCTTTGCGGTTGAAGTTCAATTGCCAATTATACTTGATTGATGAACCCTCGAAACTTAGATCTCGTACCATCAAATTTCTCGGGTAAGGTAATTCTTGGTTCTCTAGTGCTTACAGGGTGTTGTATAATTGGAGAAGGAACGTGATTTGTTGTAGATGTTGAAGCAGCTCTGATCATCTCTATATTCCTACTTTTTGCTATTCTTGTTCTTTCATGTGTTGGTGAATTGAGTTGATGCATCGCAAGCATTAACTCCCTCATTTGCTCTTGCATTTGTGCCATTGCACTCTTCATTTCAACAAGCTCTGCCATAATGACACTAAGAAGAAAAATTTGTTTGATACTGCTCAAGACAAAAGAAAAGAAAGACTTGATAACAAAGAAGATACTAAGAACAATATCAGTTTAGAAGTGGGTAATCCGCAAACTTCTAATACGCTTATGACTTGTCAAGAGAAAGAGGTAATCTACTCTCACTCAAGAAAAATAAAGCTCTGATATTGTAAGTGCACTCTTGTCAATCTGTCAAGGACAAAGACTCGATGATGGAAAATATACACAAAAAGGCTATCTCGATATAATAAGTCAAAATATAAACAAGTAGGTATATTAAAAGGAAACTAGAATGGCTATTGCCACAAGACAAGAAACTTAAGACTCTTGAACCTGGACTAGAAGCAAGAAAGGAGTTGACAAGAGTGAAGAAGCCTTCACTCTTGTCTCTATATATACTATCTAATTAGGAGCTACGTGGCGACGTTCTATAGGACCTCCAATATGTGTTGACTTTGTAGGACACATGCCTTGACTTACAAAGTAAGTTTTTCTACGTGTGGGCCACATAGTTAGCTTGATCTTCAAGCTAACAACATGTGTGGCACATGGCCAACTTGTTGACCACGTTTCTAATCCAAAAAGTCAATTAAAGACACCTATGAAGTCAAAGCAGCGTCTAGGAAGTTTCTAGGAAGCTTCTATATTAAATATTATAGAATTAACTTACTTTTATCTACTTTTACTTACTTCTACCTATTTCTATATGTAATTATTAGCTTACATGATTATGGCTGTGACAGTAATGGAACATTGATCCTAACTAGTCTTTTCTCTTATTGATTCATGAAAAACATGGGCAAGCACAAAAAAAACAAGACCGTGCTCTTATCCATTTTTTTCTCCTAAGCATTTTACTCCTAATCAAACACCACTATATAAATAAATAAATAATATAATAATTAAAATTATTAATTTTATTAATAAAAAATAGATTGAACAAAACTCCATAAATATATTTATTTACCAAAATATTAAGTTTATATATTTTTTATGTTTATTTTTTATTTTTTGTAGTATATTCTTTAGATTAAGAATTAATATCACATTTTTTGTTACAAATTATTTTCTTGCAAGTTTAAGAAAATATTCTATTAAATGATTTTTTTGGTTAAATATTTTTTGAATAAATATTTTATTTTAAATTATATTATTATACAATTTTTTTGAATATAAAAGTTTTATATAAAAAGGTATAATGATATATATATAATCTATTAAAAATTAAAAATTTATGAATCTTGAATTAATATGAAAACTTTTAAGTATTATAGTTAATATTCTTTAAATTTTAAGATACTAAAAAATCATTATAATTATTAGTATAAAAAAAATATTATAGCTTTCTAGAGTAGCTAATACCTTTATCTGTATATTTAAAATATATTAGATGATATTTTAAAATAAGCTCTTAAGCTAAAGTAAAATTTCTTGATAGTTTTTTTAAGCTCAATTCAACAAGTCAATGTTAATAATCTTCAAAATCTACATATATGTCTAAATTTTTCTATAAATCTACAAAAATATGTTCACTTAATTGTAATTATCGTTTTACTTATTCTACAAATTCCTTTCAGAATAAACCTATAGAGGAAAATTTGAACGCAAGGGAAAGACTAAGTGCATGAGTTCTACTTGTTAGGGTCACACAATTAACCGTATTCTGAACTACTGAAAACAGCAAGAAATACTACAATGCTTTCTTCCAGTAATAATACTCCTTCATTAATTGATAACAACAAAGTGCAACCCTACACTTTCAAAAGACCACTCAAAATACATAAATTCCATCCATAATCAATCTTCCAATAACTTCTCATATAATTCAATCACATAGTACTTCAATTACATAATCAATAATTCATAAATCAATCTTTGATTTATTCCAAAGACTCACTTCTCAGTATTCAGAAATTATCCATTATTTTTCAACAACAAAGAAACAAAACCCAAGAAATAAACAAAGAAAGAAGTAGCACCAAGCTCATGACTATCACAGTCTGGCCCTTAAACTAACTTCTACAACTCCTATATACTTTCCCCTAATTTTCCAAATTCTAACCGTAATTTTATTATTAACCACTTTTAATAACTAACTCAATCATCCATCCTCCTGAATTACCTATTTTATGGACTATTAGTATATTTTACCAATATCTTTCAAAAATAAATTAATATCTATTTTACATTAATCTTTTAGGAATTTATAACATAATTAAATTAAACCTTGTAATATATCTCAACTTGATTCATAAATATGAAGATAATTAAGACATTTGGATTGTGGCAATGACATCATTTTTTGAATAATTAGACTAAAAATGAGATATTACTATTATAGAGTGTTTGACAAATGTAGAATCTTACTTCTAGCTTTGGACAAATTGATTGATTTTCTAGATAAAAAAATATTTAAAAAATACATATTAAGTTTGATACTAATAAAAACATATACATTCCATAAACAAGTTACTACTAAATTATCTTTACTAAAGTTTCTAAAATAAAAAATCATTACAATACACATAATAAAATGAAACAAAAATAATACAATCATTAATTATATTTCTCTTCATAAAAATGTTTTAGTTTATAACTCTCTAACCTTCTAGTACCTTAAAATAAAAACTTAGCTATGCTCTAATAAATAATCTTTGTTATGGTATCTTAACCATCTTTTAATAAAAATATTCAACCATATTCATAATATGCAGTTGCATCAAAAATAAAGTAATCCATCCTTATACATAGCAGCAAAACATTCAAAAAATATGTGATGATTGTAACTCAAGGAAAATATATATATATATATATATATATATAGGGAATTATAAAATTGATACATGTGTTTACTAAATTGATCCACCCATCATCATTAGTTGAAAATCCAACCATTTTTTTATTAGTTTTTGACAACAATAGAGAATTTTTTTGATGATGGTTAAGATAGATGGGTCAATTTAGTAAATGTTTTTGTCAATTTAATAATTTTCTTTATATATACATATATATAAGAGAATATTAAATAGATCTATGTTTTTACTAAATTGATCCCCCCTCGAAGAATATGGTAATCATGATAAATGTGGTTGATTTTTTATTGGTTGCAAATCTAATAATGAAGAAATGAATACAGAAATCATTATTTTTTTTCATGATGGTTAGGATGGGTGGATAGATTTGCCCATGGCCGCGACCCAGGCATCAGCTTGGCTCCTTTATCCACACCGCGGCGGAAATGTTCGTTTGTTTTTTTTGTTTTTTTGTTTTTTTGTTTTTTTTTTTTGTCCGATCATTTTTCACCGAATTGGGGCAAGATTTCTCGAGCAAGCGGGCGGGTACGAACGCAATTGCTAAAGCGGATGAGAATTTTCTGCACCAGGATGCCGAAATCCAAGGGCAAGACGTGATGCTCTCGAATCAGTGCGAGGGGATTACGAAAATTCGACCTCTCAGAGCAGCGTGACGCTATCTGAAGCTAGAGCTTAGAAATGAATCTCCATCCATTCACGCGCGCATCTCCTCAACAGGGGCGCCACGCAGCCCAGCAGCTGCTTGAATCGCATCGCACGCCAATTCCGCACTGTATCATACACTACCCATCTGCGCGTCGTCGCTCAATCTCCGCCAGGCGCTGGCTGGATGTGTCTCCTGGCCAACTCCTCCCAACACCAAATTTGGGTGTAGCGGTGGATGAGTGTATGTGATTTTTAAGAACTGGGTAGCAGCGGAACGTTTCTTTATCCGAAGAGGTTTTGTGGGTTGAAGATATTGGGAGTTGGGTCTTGGTTGATTGGGAAGAATGACGAGCGTAGGGTGCGCTGTGTCGCCTGTGACTCATCCTGGAGCTGTGCTTCGTTATCAGCCTTCGTCCTTCTCCGTCTCACCTGCTTCTGCTTCCTTTTCGGTCTCGTTTCCTGCTTTGCCTTCGATTAAGGTTAAGAGTGCTGCATCTGGTGCGCAGCAGCCTTTTTTCAGCCAGTTCTATGGACGACGGGACGCTCTGGGTGCCTCGGTCAGCTGTTCTGTCTCGTTCGACAATGGACTGATCGAGTGTGAGAAGCCGCGGGCTTCGAAGGTGCGTGGTCTTGACTGCAATTAGGGAGTGTGATGTAATGTCGAGAAATGGGTGCATTTCCTCTTGTGTGAATTTCGTGGTCTGTGTTCCATGGGCGTGTAGAGTCTGGTGGGAAATTGTGGTGGGGGATGAAATATATTCTGGGTACTGAAGCGGATAAATTCGTTCTGATTAATTTTGCGCCGGTATTGGTGCTCATCACTAGGAATAAGTGATGGGAAAATCTGTGATGAATCGCAGTGCTCGGCGGCACGGGCACTCCAGGGTGAGGTGGCCCCTTTGAGAATCATGATTTCTGGCGCTCCTGCATCCGGCAAAGGCACCCAGTGTGAACTGATTGTGCAACAGGTACTTACTTGCCTTGATGTCACCTCTCGCTTTCTTCTGTCTGCATCCTCGAAGGACAGCACACGTCGAAGTTAATTATACACAGTACAGCTGAGAATCCCTATTTATGTGCACGATTATTCCCTCCCATGTGTCTTACATTAGTAGTTCCTGTAGTGCAATCTGAACGCTGCCATATCAATCCATTTTGCAAGAAACTATGTTCTGACTTGTCTGGTATGAAGTCTTAACTGGCTAAATAGCTTGATGCTGTGACCCGCATCTCTACATCCCTCTAATTGGAATCATTCTCACTTGATGGGGTGTGGCAGTACAATTTGACTCATATATCGACAGGTGATCTCTTAAGGGCAGAGGTGGCTGCTGGGACAGAGAATGGGAAACTTGCCCAAGAGTATATGCAGAGAGGAGAGCTCGTTCCTAATGACGTTGTCGTTGCGGTAGGAGGCTCTTTCTTGTGAGCTTATGCTTCCCAAGTCTAGATCAGTACCTATTAAACCCCTAAAAATACTTCGATGCATGTGTTAGGTTAAGTATTGTCTTGGTTGATTATAATCCAAATGTTGTTGGCGTATTAACCTGATGCACAAGAGACACAGATTATTTTCTCCCCTTGTTCTTCGCTGCAACTTGGATAGCTATGTGTGCGTGTAGGTATACCGCCTTAGCACACAGTTGGTGCGCATCAGATGAGATGAGTTTCAGTTCACAATGATATTTACTTGGAGCTTGTGCAGATGGTAGAGAAAAAGCTCGCGTCGGCAACAAACGGATGGCTCTTGGATGGTTATCCTCGCAGCTTGTCTCAAGCAGAAGCTCTTGAAAACATGAATATCCGTCCACATCTTTTCATCCTTCTTGAGGCAAGTGTTATCACCTCGCAATTTTTTTTGCTCCTGTATGCTACCATTTGTCATGGCTTGCACTTCGAAGTATCGGATATTCCCTGCTGTAACTTGAGATTGGCGATGTTTTCTACAACATACTGTTGTCATTAATCGCATGAATCCATACTTTGAAACAATGGAGGTATGGGTTTCAGTTTTGTTTACTTTAACTCCTTCCAATTAGTTTCGACTCTCCTGTAGTTCGTCAGCGTAAGCAGATTTTTGCGGAAAAATCCCAAAGCCCTGGCTCATCGTGCATCTGAGTTGCTTGTACAGGTGCCTGATGAGATTTTGGTAGGAAGAGTAGTAGGAAGGAGGCTTGACCCTGTCACCGGAAAAATCTATCATCTCATGTATTCGCCTCCAGAAACACCAGAAATTGCTGCTCGCCTCATACAACGAGGTGATGACACAGAGGAGAAGGTGAACTTCCACAATATCCATCCTAATTGAAATGGTTGCCAACACGAATATGAATTTCAATTTGGTAAACATAATTTTGAAGTTGCAATCACGTTGGTTCCTGATTTACAGAGCTTAGTGTTTGATCTCAACGCTAAGATATCTTACTTGATTATACTATCTTTGCAGGTGAAACTACGGTTGGAGACGTATTATTCCAACGTGCAGTCCGTGCTTGACGTTTACAAGCCCGTGACGAAAGTTGTAAGTTTCGATTTGCTCTTAAGATTTGAATCATTCTTCTACGATGACCTATGTTTTCCTTCTAGAAAATCGAATGGAATATTGAATGACACTGCCAATTGTTCCAGGTGGATGGGAACCGCCCTAAAACCGAAGTATTCGCCGACATCCAAAACCTGATTACGGAACTTCAAAGAGAGACAGAGAAGGCCGTTGCACAATTTGCCTCTGGAAGTCTTTGATTCAAGATTTCGCATTTTCAACTATGGACTTTCCCGAAGATTCTTATCCCGCCAACCCCCGATCTTGGGGTTCACCTTTTAGGATAGGAAGGAATTTTACAAAAAAGTATTTTCTTTTTTCAACAATTTCTCATAGAGTTTTAAGCTTCCTTGTGTTTGATCCTGTCAACAGAAAACTGCTGTTATGCAGGATAATGATAATCATTGATGACACAATGCGCAAGGCATGCTTGTATTTAGCATGATTGAGTTTGTTTTTTAACACATTGTTGATGAAGAACTCACCTCTCAACAGTAGATTTGATGTGTATTTCTTCGTGTAAGGGGAATTAGTGAATTCTCCAATCAGGATGCAGCAACCTAAAATCAAATACCAGATGCCCTGAATAAGGGTCTTCCTTCTGACAATTCTTTAAACTACTCCTATCTAATTGGAGTTACTCCTCTAGATTGCTTGTGTACATTATTGCAGATAACAAAATACTTCAGACGCTGTTCAAAAAAGAGGTGGATGGGAAAGGAGAGTCCGAAGGAATACTGTTTCTTGTGAATATTCATTTCTCTGGTGGTTACCAAACACAAAACCCGGAGCACAGATCAAAATTCTGAGAATAAACTGTGATGGAATACATGAATCTTATATGAATCCTGCAAACAGCACCGAATGAAACGTGATGTCTCATCCGTTTCAGTATCATATGTAAGATAAACTTGAAAATTCATAAATAAAAAAACTTGCACCAGTGAAAGCGCCCCAACGCGAAATAGAAAAAACCATCGGGGAAGTGGTGAGCATTCGCATAAATGAATCCAAGATTCAGGGGAGCACGCCTAAAGATAATAAACCTTTTACCCAATCACCCGCAACCAAGAAACTCAATATCGATGAGTTTCGAAGAGATCGTTTTGCCAGCAACGCATAGGAACCCACAGCTCCCGAACAAAGACTCCAAGTGCATTGAAATATCATAGCTGCCACAAGAAAACTGCATCACACGAGCAAATCGGGTTAACATGAAACCTGGTCGAAAAAGTAAGGAATACAGCAGGAATCAACAGTAGCAAACTAATACTGGTTGAGCAACATGACACTAAACATATGAGTTACGGAACAATAAAACCGTGAGGTCCCGCAACGCGATACGTGGCTAACACGCTCTGCAACACATGACAGCTGTTCTTTACACTTCTAGTATCAAGGAATCTTACACTTCAAATCATAGCTACAAAGACTCTTAAAGCATTCAGGCGCATTTCAGCAACTTTACTGTAAAGCAGCAACAGCATCAATTTTGTTCATCAACAATAAGAAAAAAAGCTTTATCCATCAATTGCAACTACATTTAAAATCCACATGACTTCTTTCAGCCACCGTCATCAGCGTCCAGACAAAAATCATTCCTTCGTGTCATTACACTACATTTATTCATTTAATCGTTCCAGCATTCCGTACCAGAATTTTTGAAAAAAAAACAAAACAGATGGAACATATGAAAAATTCTGGTCCCCCGAAAAATGCATTAGAAATTAACACCTTTAGACACTAAACAAAGAGAGACGAAAAACATTTGAGTGTCGAAAACAGGAAGATTCGTACCAGAAACCTGTTACCGAGGAGAAATCAACAATCGTAACCATGATACAAAGAGCAGTAAGGGCGAATCCCTTTGCAAGAATCGTAATGCCAAGCCCATCAGCATTCCCGGTGATCCAAGCAAATCATTCATCCTTCCTGATGGAGGTACGAGATGTTCCGCACCTTGATATTGTGAAGAGCCACAGGGTGTACTACGGAGTGACTTGCCACCTCATGCCTTCTTAAAGCACCTTACGAGATCCTTTCTATATCATCTGAAGAATTAGCGTCTTCTAGACACGCACAACAGCATATTAATAAGATGGTGTCCTTCACAAATGGTGTCAGGTGAACCTTTCTAGCAACCATCAGCATGTATTAAAACTTGCGTAGCTTCCCTAAAGCATCAAAGTGCAGGAACTACCCCTTGACCAAAGTTGATAGTTTTCTTTCCGTAGAATTCCGTTCTAAATCTCCTATCACAGAGACGTTCACCGACAAAGATCCTCTCCACCGTCTTCACGCTTGATGCTCCTGATCGCAGAGGTTGGTACTCCCTAAATTCTTGTCCAGGAAGTGGGCTCTTTGAGATGATTGAAGCAGAGAGCCAAACGATAACACCAATTTACTGCGATACTAACACCAATTCGACACAAATCATGTCGGGCCCTAACTTGTAATAAAGGATCATAAAGCTTCAGAAATTTAAACGAACTGTTGCCTGCAGTCTACCTTGAGCATTTCAAGTCCAATCAACGTACCGAATCGCTCAACAATCTAACCACTCTAATCTTGCATAACCTTCACGTGGAGAAGTTGTCGTGTAGATCAAATCGATGCCTGAAACTGAAATTTCTTCTAAAGATTCTCCAGAATAATTCACTCTAGACAGATGTGTGGCAATCATGTATCATCTTATGTACGCGACACGAAACGAGAGATAATATTTGGAAACCGGTTATATTATCCGCATATTATTAATTGCACTACAACTCGTATAGCGATTGCGCCAGAGCTCCATTGAGAAGACCTGTACGCAACAAATAACCTTCATCAACAATATCAAATAAATCACTCCACCTGCAAACTCTTGATTAATGTAGCTAAAATATCTCAGGTTACGACACTCAGAATTTCCCCGTCCATGATACGTTGAGCAACACTCACATGACAGTTTACATTCACAGCGGCACGACTGACCCCGCGAAAAGAGAGAGCACTTGCTAATCGTGTTTGAGGTCTTAAAACGTCCAGAATTGACTAAAATAGTTCTCACCTGCTATCTATCTATAATGCTCATTGCTACAAAACGATACTTCTTATGTTTCCTCGCTTGATTGAAAGTGTGCCGAAACTCGATTCCATAAGGTGCTCATACTTCACTGGATGATTCAACATTATCTTAAACAATCATCCACTGTCTCTCGATTAGGTGTAAAGAACAATCGATGGACCTGAATCGATCATGCCTGAATCGTGCTTTACAATCCCAGTGACGCCTTCTAACCGTCCTAGTCAATCTACAAGTCGCAAATTCATCAAACTCCTCATAACTTCGCATCTACACGCGACTAAGAAACCTCTAAAGAATCCAAACCCTCGCTTCGTGGCTCACTCAATAGCTACGATACTAGCGAGAGCGTGGAAGGGCTGATTTTGCGACGGGAAATGGAAATGAGGTCCCGAAAAACAAGAATTCTCGAGGAGGGTGACGAATTGCTGCTTCTTTGGCATTGCTTTGTAGAAAGGGGGGGTGTGTCGTGGTGAGTTGCGATGGGGGCGGAATTCAGGGTTTTAGCTTCTTGGGTTGGTTGATTGATATGAGAACGATTATTAAAAAATATTTCTCACATTTCATGAGTTTCAAGATAATGGTACATTGAATTGAAGGTAGATGAGGAAAATGGTGTGACATTATTGTATGGCATAATACCAATGGTTGTAATTCAATATTCTTCCATATCTTTTGTAATTCAATATGTTTTTTATAATAATCTTCTTGTTACAAAATGTGTGGAAGGGAAATGGTTTTTTTGATGTTGTATATGTATATATATATATATATATATATATATATGGGAATGCTAAATAATGTTGTATTTATACTAAATTTTCCTAATGATGAAGAATATGGTAATAGTGATGAATGTGATTAATTTTTATTGATTTTGGATCCAATAGTGGAGAAATGAATGTAAAGGTAGTTTTCTTTTTATGGTAACTGGTCAACTTAATAAAAGCCTCGGTCTATTTAACATTCCCCTATATATATATATATATTTAGTTTAACTATAACAAAATCTTATGGAGCAACCTGTATTTTGTCCCTTATGATCCTGCACTGAAGTACAATATGATCCTCCACTGAAGTACAATAGGATGTTTGCAAAATTGAACTGTCAAAATAAGTTTATGTTCGCGTGAATCCCACCGACGCACGGCGGATAATATGAGATGATGGAAGGTAAAATTGCTGAGTTTTCATGAGAAAAAAAAACTGGGTGCTGGTTGTCTAAGGCCAATTTACACAGCATTCATCACAAACGATAGCTTGATTCTCAAAAGAGACTCAACTTGTGAAGTCAGGCTTCATTTCACTAGCTTCCTCCTGTAGAAGATATACATACAAGAGTAAATACAGATGTGGATCAAATTTAATAAAAGCACATTACCTAGTGGTCCTTCGTAGATGGAAGTCTGAGGGGGTCCCTGCAGGTTGCCTATTTCTATAATGACTCCGTTCATCGACTGGTATGGGTCCCTTAAGAAGCCAAATTTGCATTCCAGTTCTGCTACATTCACCTCGAACGCCAATGCGGGAAGGACCAAAGGACTAACTAGACTAACACTAAGCTGGGCTTGTAGAGAAAACGACACTGCAGCTATTGAGCGAATAAAGTTCGAGATACATTATTCGAGTCAAGCACACATGACTTGGTCACATGCTTGCAGAGCCTGGCCCGCAAAAAATCGGACATCCACATCAGGGTCTTCCTGAAGTTCCAACAAGCATGGCCGAATTGTTTGCTCCACAACCTGTAAGGGAAACGTGTCAGAAAGACCAAACTGATGCCACCTTTTTGTCTCACATGATATACATGCAGTATGGACATACCACTCGAATACTAAAATTGGAATACTGTTGGGCATAAACGAACGCTAACACTTGAACAAATAGAATGTACAACATCTAATGAAGTTCCACTGGCCAGTTGTTTCAGAACAACGCGTTCAATTAATAATCCAACAAAAGAAAGCTTCTAACCAATTTATAAAAACAACACAAGTATGACAGCAATTTGAAAGCGATGGTCAGAAATAATAAGCTGCACACATTACTGCAGGCGCTCTTGCACCTTCTAATAATCGTGTTACTTTATTAGACGATGAAGGGAAATGCACGCAAGATGGTGACGAGCTTACAGTGGAATCAACAATCGGAATCATGGATTGCAGCATTTTGGCGACGTTAAACTTGATGTTTGGAACCCTGTCATCGCAATCACAGAGAATTAGCTAATTACACAAGATCCGAAAACCTACCTAATACCAATCTGTTGCAGTTGACTGATAATCAAGTTCCATTACATATGGAGAGCAAACTAAGGTACCTGTCTTTTGCTGCATTGATGACCACAGGCAACATTGTCTGGCAAGTGGCTTCGGAACCAACTACTGGAGCAAGAAGAGAAATCGCAACAAGTACCGTCATGCGATACAAATAATGAGGATTGTTTATCTTTTCCATCACCTGCAAGTCCCACCAATTCATCAGAAAACAATAACGTAGGAATTGAATGAAAGTTATCTCATGTTTAACGGATCTGACAGATAGACAAGCCTGTGCTGTATGTAAAAGCCCACGATTCTACACTCGTTACCAAGATAGTCCTCACTACAATCTTATAAAGCGAGTACCTGTGGAATGATGTGCTGCAATGCCCACTCAGGACCAAACTCTTCGGCAAGACGCTTGAGATTGTTGGCAGCTGCCTCTCGGATAGAGTACACCTATTAATCCAAAAAAGAATGAAATTATATTACTGAACTAGTTCTAAAGAAGCAAATATGAAAAGAGATCTGATTGAGGACGACCATCTCGACACAAACCACCATCGAAACATTGCTTGATGGGAATATATGAACCTGATCTCCAAGCCACTGCATGCAAAGAGCGCCTAGTTTGTCGTCGAAAAAGTCCACACCTAATTGGCTGGCCAATAAAGGGATGTACTCAATTATGGCAAGACGGACACGCCAATGCCGGTCCTCTGCTAATTCGACGATGGCTGGCAAAAGTGACTGGGACAACAAGTCGATACCTATCACCTGTGAACGAAACGTCCAACTTCAGATCCATTAGTCTTCCTCCTAGTCAGAAACAATCAGTAACTTCATGTAGGTTTGTAAAATATCACATCCATATACAGTAAAAAGAAAGACGACGACGTTTAAGTCAGAATACCAAGATGACAACACGTAATGTAAAGCTCTTTAATAACTGGCCCTTACTTGATTCACTTGATCTAGCTTGCTGATAATATTTAGTCGCACATCTGGAAATTCATCCTTCAACAGTGACAGAAATATGGGCAGAAGTTGCTCAATGGTAGCTTCCTGCAAAAATGATGCCAAAAGATACATTGAAATGCAGATCACTTTTGAGAGGCTTATGCAGATATTAAGAAGGATGCAGAAATATCAATCCAAAGTTTGACGTGGAATACTGAATATGTTTAAAATCCGCGCAAGACATAGCAGTAAAATATTGTCCATCAAGAACAATTTTCAAACAGAAAATAGTTACCATGCAAACGAAGGCACCGACAACATAAAAGAAGAAAAAAGAAGAACAAGAAGAAGAACAAGAAGAAACGAACCTTTCCTAACAATGGCGCCATGCCCATAATAACCGATGCAAGAGCAGCTCGTACATGTTGTGACGAATCAGTTGACAAATCCTACAACAATGTGCACATTGATTAGGACAGGGACGAAGTAAGAGTACAATGCAGTGACACTGAACTTCCATAAGGACAGGAACTAAAGTATAAACAACAAGCCTCTTCAGTAACGAAAGAGGACATACCTTCACGCACGGAAGAATATGTAGTTGGGCAACTTGAGGGCTGACGATCCCGCAAAACTTAGTGACTTTGCCAGCCGCAGCGATGCGGACTTCTGCTTCATTGTCCCGCAATAGACGTACGTATGCTGGAACAAGGTCCGTCCTAGAAGTCACAGAAAATACACAACCAGGTCACAGATCACATTCAGGTACCTTACGAATGAAACTGTTCCAGGCAAGTTAAAATTTAAGTTTCCTCAAGATATACTACACTAACAAGCACCTAAAAGACTATCTATGTATTCATCCATATTTCTTCACACAAGAGTCGAGAGTAAGATGTTCTAAGCCAACATCAGCCATCAGAACCAAAATGGTATGAAAATCCCGAGGGGAAACCATCAAGAATAGGTTGAGCAAATAATCTCAATCTAAATGAAACATCTGCAAAGATCCATCCTTGAATAAGCACCTGGTTGGTTCTTGTCCCACGGCTTCACAGAGCTCATACAACTGGTTAGCCACCATGTATCGTACCCGCCATGACTTGTCCTGCAGTCCCACAGAAAAAAATCTGAATACATTGTTACATATCTAAAATCATGATCAGAAGGCGTTCTCAAGGAATAGCCTCGAAATTACTCCTAATAGAAAAGATAATGGCTCAGGCATTGAAACTGAAATCTCAAAGATAGACTCTAATAACAACCAAGATTTTCAGTGCTTCCAAACCAGGTCTTAAAATAAAAATAAATAAATAAATAAATAAAAAAACCCTTTTGTGCTAACCATCTACATCGAAAACAAGCTGTAAGCCAACTTGACTTGGGACAAAAACCTATATACGATATGGATGTGAGGTTTCTAAAGGTAAGCCTTTGCGTGAAGAAAAAGTGCTAATATAAAAGGTTATGTGCCAAAGATAGCTTGACCCAATGGGCAACATTCTGCACAATATTACATGCTGAGCTCTCTGACACCCAGTTCGATAGTAGACAAGCCGTGGAGCAGTAAGAGGGAAGCACAGAAACAACTCGACAAAAATGGGCAAAACATAGCAAGTTGTGCATGTCCTACCTGTGAGAAGCTAACTATAACAGGGAGAATGTTTGCCACACAATCAGCAGGCTCCAGTAGTTTGCCCAAAGCAGCACACCCTTCCACTGCTAGAAGCCTCACTGAATCTTGGTCTGCAAAAAAGCAAAAGAAATAAAAATAAAGTCACTCCATCAATTGCGGATTCATCTACATCTAACATTACTTTCCCTTCTTCGTTACGCTCTAAAAGTTAAATAAATTCAGCTTCAAAAAACAAGGTCAATAGCTTCAAAAGATAATTATTCTGTGCCAGTGGATTTCATTCTAAAATGCAACTCGTGGAATTTCGTTATCCTTGACAGATGAACTTAGAGACCTGCAATGAGCAGATAGATGCTAGCTGAATTACTACAAAGACCATATATCACTCCTCCGTGTTCAGTTCCGTAGAAGATGCTCCAGATTTCCAAAATGCACACAACCCTTTCAAGAAACCAGACGTACCATCTTGTGTGAGGTCCCTGAAAAAGGTCATAATATCAGTCTTCAAATACATGGCTTCAACTGTTGCCGCAAACTTCCCCAAATTAAGTGCAGCTGATCGTCGCACCATAGGCATATCATCGTGGCACAGCTGATTGTAGACTGAACGCAACTCGGCCCGAAGAAGATCTGGAGCACTAGGGTAAGCGATGTGGAAAAGCCCGCAGGCTGACACTCGTGCGGTGAACCATTCACCAGCACCGAGCCTCTGTTGCCGTCCAGGAAAAAAAAACCAAAAAAAAAAAAAAAAAAAAAAAGTCAAAACACAGAAACCAAAGACTGCATATATTGAAACAACGCCGCATACTGTCTAACTACAGTAACCAGCACTGAATTTAAGACATCTCCCTCACTGCCAATATTCAACCAGTTACAATGCTCGCCGGGATAAAGCTGGTCCTCTATTCCACACAAACCATGTTATGAGTTCCCCCCTACTACGGAAAAACCCTAGAACATAGATCACCAACCATATAACCTAAAATGATTGAATCCTGACCCTTTTCTTTCTAATCGTGCCAGGCACATCTCAAGCACGAAAACCCTAATAAAAAGATACGAACAAACACAGCGCGACACGCAACCCATAGGAGATGGTAAGGATCCCGCCGACCTTAACAAGCGGAATGAACCATTCCACGACATCGCGTTCCTTCATCTGCGAGCCAATTTTGCACAGGGACTCCACGGCCTTGTCCCGCACCACAGTCTCTTCCACCGTACACAGCGACTCCAACGGCGGCAACAACACGTGCGCGTAGTCCACCCCGCCCACATGAGCGATGAACCCCCCGAGCTCGTCGGCCATGGCCAGCAGCACCTCATCATCATCGTCGTTGTTCTCACTCAGGAACGGGATTAGTTCCTTGCGAGTCCGATCCTCCCCTAGGGCTCTCGCGATGGTGGACAACCGACGGATCGAGTTCAAGCGCAGCTGTATGTCATCATTTTTCAGCTCGTCAATCAGAATGGCTATAGGATAAAGAGGCTCATCCACCATCGCCATATTCGCCATCCGTACTGCTTCCTTCCGCCCTGATGTTCCACCCCGCTCCACTCTCTCTCGCTCTCTCTCTCTCGCGCTTTCTCACGAACTCTTGATTCACGGCGAGGAAAGAAATGGAAAGGAAAAGTTAAGAACGGGGAGAAGCTCTCTCTCTCTCGGCTATGGCATTCGGAGACGGCAGTGGCGCCCTGTCCCCTACAACTCGACCTCAACACTCACTCGCAACAACAGATTAAAGCCCTCGCACAATGCTGTAGAGGAAGGAGAAAAATAAAAAATTGCAAAAAACGAAGCAAAACAAACCAATCAATACAATACGAAGAACGAACTGGAAGCCAGCCCCGAAGGCTGGGTTGGGACCGGTCGCTTTCCCCCAAACCCGGCCCGTGCTTCCCCCCCAGCCCCACCCCCTTTCCGGGGCCCAAGGAGTCCGAACCTTTTGAAAAATTGGTTGGACGAGTTTGACCCGGCCCCCGATGTGCCGACCCAGTGGAGAATCACCGTTGTCCACGTCAGCAGCTTGGACCCGTTCGTGATTTTCTTCGTTGCACCGGGTTTGGCTATGGGGAGGACCCAGCATTTGCAGGCCGGGTTAGACACCGATTCGTAATTCGGATAGTGCCACGTCGGATGCCCACGTGGACGACCTGCGCTATGCCTTGTCATACATGCATGCGTGGATTCTTACCTCTCGTGGTGGTAAGTCTTTTTATTTGTATGTAACATATTGTGAATAGTGGTGGTCTGGCATATATATCTATAGTATGTTTTTAATATATGTTCGTGAGAAAGAGAGAGAGAGAGAGAGAGAGAGAGTTTTAATATATGTTGTTATTTGTGTTTATGCAAGTAAAGTGTAGATTCATTATAGTACAAAAATAGAGAAAAAAAACAGTACTATGTACCCATGTATCATATCTAATATTCTTTATGTACTTTGATAACATAAATTCCAAATAATGCTACATATAGAACAAATATTTTGGTAATTGATGCACAAATACAAGAATTACTAAAAACCAAGGATTAAATGATTGTAATATATTTCATTTGTTGTGGAAATAAATTATGATAAAGAAACCAAAATGTAGATCCAACTTTTTTTTACTTATTTATTTATTTATTTATTTATATTTCAAAATATTATTATGATTTTCTTGAATTTTTATATTCTAATTATAGTGAAAAAGTTCATGATTAGTGTAAAGAAGCTTAAGTATTGCTCCAATTGAGTTTATTTATTCGTGGAAATGTTATTCACCGATTGGTGTTTGTTGCTTGCACTAGTGTTATTTGTTCATGTCTTAGTTTAGTTAGTTCCACTGTATTTGATACAATACGATATCAAACTTACAATATTGAATAACATTACAAACACTAAATAAAATGCACATTGAAAACTAAAGTAAAATTTGAGCATGAATATAATAAATGAAAAATTAAGGTTAATTTATCTTTGTATGTGCAATTCACATTTTATATATATATATATATAGATATGTATATAGTAAAGTATTGTACTTGTTATCTTGAACAAGATATTGAAATTTAGATATTGATAATGAAACGAAAGTAAGATATTTTGACCAAAAGAAAAGATGTAAAAAAATAAAAATAATATCAACATTACATATGTAAGTATATATATATATATATCTCAAGTATGTACTAAAGAAAAAAGAGTTTTTGAAAAGAAATAAAAGAGATAAATGATTACTCATTCAAATTGAGTATATTGTATTTTCCTGCAATTGAAGCAATCTTTTATTTTACTTTGTTTTGTTTTTAAAATCAATTGGATGCAAGTTGTTCAAATCAATTTATTTAAAATATTGATGTATTTGCAGATGAATGAAATATGAAGAAGTAAACAGAGTTGATATTTTGACGTGAATTAAAAAATGCAGACTTTATTGGAAACATTTGTTCTTGGCTTGAATTGAAGAACATTACATTTTAAGCTTGGGAGACCCTTTTAGTGCTTGGATCTCACACCAAGTGTCCTTTTATTATGATCCATTTATTATTTAAATTACTTTTTTAGCTTACTAATATTGAAAAAGATGATATAATTTGATTTCAAGTTATTTCAAGTGTTTCTTCAAAAATATGTTTGTCTACACTCTATGCAAATTGATGGATTTTCTTAAATCAAGTAACGTTTTTGATTTATTTATTTTACCCATAAATCTCTCTGAACTTGATAGTGAACATTTAAAAATGGTTGTTGTGTTATACTTATATTTTGACTTAGAAAATTAAAAACTAATCTTAATTTGAAATCATAATTTATATCATATATTACATATCCCTTAAATGTGATACTACTACTTAAAAAAAAAAAAAACAAACAAACAAACAAAACAAAACAAAACAAAACAAAAAACAAAAACAAAAACGCCTGCTTACCACAGTAAGAGTTTTAATGGCACGATGTACCACAAAACAGTTAAATTAAAACACAAAAAGTATGAGAATTCTGGTCATGTAAGTATGCTACAGTGTGACATGCACAAATCAATATCCAGTTACAGGCTGGTGTTTGGCAAGATTCAACAAGGATCACCTTCATCAAAGCATACATAGTTTAGCCATACTTAAATATCAACTTCAGTGTGTATTACTAACTGAACTTATGATGAGCCCAAGACAATAATTCCCAATTGAAATGCAGTCTAAATTGGAAGAAGATTCATACACATTCAGTCACCATTCAACGAAGTAAAGCAAAGGTCAATATAGTTCAGATTTCGATTTTGAAGACCAGTCGATCAAGGACCATAACATCAACCCGCAAGATAAATTCATCGTAGACAGTGCTTTTCCATGTTTTGCTCATTTACTGAGGATGCTGGAATCCTTAGGAAACGAGATTCAACATAACTGATATATTTCGGTGAAGGCGTGAGAAAGGATGACATGTGAAGCACCAAGTACAAAAAGCCCTCTCATCTATTTGCTTAAGAAAGTCGAGCACCAGCTATGCAGAATACACATGGAAGAACATCACTCAAGATCTTACACTTGGGATTACCAGCGATCGAGTAAAATTTTCAAATGTATCTCTCAACCTTGTATGAATAAAATAAAAGTTGATTCTCCAAAACCCCCTAGAAATCCCCTCTTAGTCAGCATCCATGTCTTCTTCCTGTGCCTCCTTGGCAGCTGTCTTGGCTTCAGCCAATAAGTCTGCTGGAACCTGCATTGATGTCCAAATACCGCAAATCAATACCCGAAAAATACTATACATACACACACACACATGGGACGTATCCATAGCCTAAATCAACGTAAAAAGAGTACGGAGATGCATTCAATTAAAATTTCTAAAAGCTTGAACATGTGGCTGATTCAGATGGCGAGCACATGACTTAAGCAGATTGAAAGGGTGGAAAACTTACCCGTTGATGCTCGCGGTTGGATTCATCGCAAATCCAACTCATCTCGAGCTCAAAAGCCTTGTCTTTGGCCTCATCATGTACACCGTAAATGCTGCAAGGTTTTAAAGAGGCAAAAAGCAAAGTAATTAATGCAGGCAATCAAGTGCATTCACAATATCATCTGAAACCACAAGCTGTAATAAAAATAGTGAATTTCTTTCTATAATAATAGGTGCGCGCCTGATTTCAAGCATTCTGAGTCTTTTCACAAATGATTTAAGGCCTCATCTGAGTCTCAACAAGTTAAAAGATGGGTGGTTGGCTTACATCTTGGCAACTGCAATGACCCCTTGTCTGCAGGTCATCTCTGTCAAATTCAATTTTTCGATTTCACTGCAATGCAGCCCAACCCAGATTCAAGATTTAAAACAATGTTCAGATGATACCACAAGCTAAAGCTGCTTTACTGGCTAGTTTGACAGCTAGGTCTAGCTAACAGAAACTGAACGAATTGGAAGCAGGTATTACGTCTTTGCAGCTTGCCGACCCTTTCCAACTGCTGCTCCAAAGTAACGCTGCATCCACATCAATAATTTGTACCGTTAATATCCGAAATTTCCACCAGAAGAAAAAATTCGAATCTTGCAAAGTGCAGAGATAATGCTACGGCAGAGAATACAGGTAAATTGAGAGCCTCACATAAGCGACACCAGAGGGCTCAATCATGTACAGTTGAGGACCATCACGGTCGTAACCTCCGAGGATTGCTGATGAACCGAAAGGTCTGAAAAAAACACACATGTAAACACTGGATTACTTCAGCATAACTCATGCACAAGCTTCAGGTCAGATCATGATGGGAAACTCAACAAACAAATGTCACACTAAACAACATAATTTCCAAGATTATAAACGAAAGTGCTTGAAAGTGCTAGACAACTGATGTCCTATCAACTGTGGGAAAATGAGTACCTGAGCCACCAGTAAAGTGTGCACAGATGAGCATAATGCGCAACACGTTCACAAAGTTCTCCAATAGGGACCTCCTCACCATAAAAACTGTAAAAAGAAGAATATATCAAAACACTGGAGAGCACTGAGGATTCATTCAGAGAATTTTTAGAAGATAATTTCACTCTCACAATCAGCAATAAATACATGCACATACATCTTGATACAAAACCCGCTAAGATCGCGGACGGAATCTGGAACGCCAGAACTGGTTATGTACATGTCATGCGACTACCCAGGGGCAATGAAGGTTCGAACATGAGAATACCTTCGGTAATCAGAGGCTTCAGCACGGGCCTTGGTTACTATCTGCCTACCATCAGATGCCAGGCCTGCCATGGCCTGCAATTATGCATATGCCACACGCTTCATTTCAGAGTTTCAGAAACACATAGTACTCAATGGAACGATTCAGCGCTTAGGCAGAACAAAAAATATCATACTATCTATGAAATAGACTGACTCTTTGTGCGTAACATGCTAAAAGTTTAAGGCCGCGGAATAACTAGGGACCGAGTTCGTGCATGTATCAAAAAAAATGATCACCTATACGCATAAAAATCTTAGAAGCTTAAGAAGCTTACCATGGCTGCATGACGATCCACAGCATGAATTCTTCGGTTGGAGCCCTCTAGTAACATTTTAGAGGAAATGAGTTTCTCAACTCCCTGCAGCACGAAACCCACAGTTATACTCAGTAACAGTAAAAATTTCATGGACACATCAGACAACTTTCACAAAGATCCTGTTCAAATCTCAAATGATAGAAAACAAGAACCGTGTTCTAGCACGTGCAGGAAATCGTTCTTGATCCCAAAACAAGATTGATGATTAGTAAAGAACATAAGACAGTACCAGGACGACACCATCTTTACACTTGATGCCCACAACAGTCCTGCACATCCAGAGTATAATGCTTGAGTTTGACAAAAAAGAAAAAAAGAAAAAATAAGAAGGAAGAAATGATAGTATGAAAATACTTTCACTCTGACGGAACTATTGCCAAACTTATCTGTTCTACCCATGGAACTCTGCAATGAGGCTTTGGATGAAACATTTTGTTCTAACATGGATAGACTAAAACGGAGTGATGCAGTCTGATCGTGATGCCCCAAGCCCCAACTGCAACTAAACCATAGCAGGCCTACCATCATCTCAAACAATCTCCAGCAAGTTCAATCAGAGGAATGTATGGTATACCAACCTATCAGTAGGTGGGATCAATTACGATTTAGGTCGCAACAGGAACTAGAAATCAGGACCCACCTGCACTATAAGATATCATATTCAACCTATTGCTTCTGCAACTCCCTAAACACAGCTGAAGTTGTTTTTGCATAGTTCTAGAACCCTAATTTGAACAAAATCAATACGAAGGGAAGATCGGTACAAGCACCAATAAACCACGGAAGCGGGAGGGAGGGGGGGGGGGGATGTTCTACAGTGGGTGTTATTGAAAGCATACCCGCTATTGTCAACCGCTTTGGAGGCATACTCGACTTGAAATACCCGCCCATCCGGAGAGAATGTGGTCACCGACAAATCATACTGACATATACCACCCACTCTACTTTCTTTGTCAGCTTATTTCTCACTCTGACTTACAAATACAACTATCAAGTAGAGAAAGGAAACGGGATTTAAAAAAAGAGAAGGATGGCGTCTTCTCTCAGATTTCTAGTAAATGCACAGTAGCTGATTTCATTCAATGTTCCTGGGAACCCACATCGACATCTCAATACATCGAAATGTAGAGATTTTTATTTGAGATCCTCAAGGCAAAAAAGAAATAATGCTGCTGTAGGGGTTGTGAAACATACCCCTGTTCCAATGCTGGTCATGGCTGCTACCCTCCTTGTCAATCAATGGGAGATGCTCCTTCTTCAGTTTCAACTCAAGGATAGAAAAATCTGGAGGTACAAAGAGTAATTTCAGCCAGAAATGCACAGGAGATTACTGCTAGCACATATTATGACTCCCACGTAAAGGTTAAACAGCAAGATCCAGGAAATCAACCGAATTCAATATCCATCCAGCTCTCTCCTCTACACTGAGGCAACGATCGATGGCCCCGCCACTAAATCTCGGCACTGAATACAAGTCTGATGTTCCAAAACGACCACCACATGCAAGAGGTTTTCAAACATCTCGAAAACCAGGAACTACTCATTCAACCTAAAAATATGGCCTACACCCGCGAATGCGATGATTACATTAACGTTGAATCAGAAGAATAAAATTGGGTGACTCCGAGGCATGAACGATGAGCTCATGTGCAGCAGGGCTTGGAGAGGAACAGCAAATAGCACACTGAGCAGCAGTAAAGCACACTGCTTTACAAACACGTCGACGACCAATAACTGTTCACCGATGTGGACGATATTCGTCATTTTACAAGTGGCTCCGGCAACCTATCTGGATGAATGACAAACTTTTTTGCCTTAGAGGCTGAGTGTGGAGTCGGGCTGCTCGACTGTTGGTGTGCTTGGTTTGCTCTTCTTTGATGGAGTTGGGCTTTGCCAAGTCTAAGTACCCCAGTTCAGAAATTTTAGGTTTTCACCTGGTTGCTCTGATCATTGGGAGAGGTGGGTCTGAGTTTTTCTGCAGGATTGCGGAAGGCTTTCTACGTGGGTTGCGGTTGTGGGAATTGAAAAGAGGAGTGTAGGCGCCGGTGGTCTGTAGAAGGGGTTTAGGGGTTTGGAAGAGGAAACCATCATGGATGAGAGCTTGTATGATGAGTTTGGTAACTATATTGGACCTGAGCTAGATTCGGACGAGGAAGGCTCTGAGCAGGAGGAGGAGGAGGATGAGCAGAGAGGATTAGAGAATGGACATGATGATGGATTTTTGGAGAACGGGGTTGACGATGACAGGGACGATGCCATGGATACTGAGGGGGCAGTGGTGCTGGCGGAGGACAAAAAGTATTACCCCACTGCCATGGAAGTGTATGGCGAGGGCGTGGAGACGTTGGTCATGGACGAGGATGCGCAGCCTCTCGAAGAGCCCATCATTAAACCTATTAATCTTAAGAAGTTTGAGGTGGTGGCGAGGGAGGTGCAGTCTTATGTTGCTACGGAATTTTTATTAGGTCTGATGCATAATCCCACGTTAATAAGAAACGTGGCTTTGATAGGGCACCTACATCACGGGAAAACCCTGATGATGGACATGCTGTTTCAACAAACGCACGCTGTGAACACTTTAGACCCTAACAGCGAAAAGCATCTGCGGTACACGGACACTAGGATCGATGAGCAAGAGCGTCAAATATCAATTAAGACCGTTCCGATGTCTCTCGTGTTGGAAGACAGTGCGGGAAAATCTTACTTGTGCAATATAATGGACACGCCAGGCCATGTGAACTTCTCAGACGAAATGACTGCAGCTCTTCGTCTCGCAGATGGAGCAGTTCTTGTTGTTGACGCAGTTGAAGGTGTCATGGTATGCATTCTATGAATGGTGGTTGGGCCAGGTCGTATCTGGTTGTCTACCTTAGTAAGAACTAGCTGTTTGTTTGAAAGAAATTATTTAAAAGAACTGAGTGCTTTCAATCTGCTGCTGCTGCATTTGCAATTTCGTTTCTTTCTCCTATCTCACTCCACAGCCCGGCTACTATTTTCTCATTAACAGCATAGCATTTAGGTGAAATTTAACAGCTTCGGTGCATAATGACTTGGTCTCCTTACGCTGGATTTTACTGGATTTTATTGTCGTTGGAATTTTCAAAGTCCTGGTCCGTTATCCTCTAACCCTAAGCCGTAGGTGAACATGAATAGTGCCCTTCTCACTTTTACATGAAGTCCTTGTAGATCTATGGCTAACTTCATTATCGGAGGATGCACTATGGAGATGTAGTCCAAGTGAAAATACACATCATATAACCAGCGCAGGGGCTTTTTAATTCTTCTGCCATAAGATATGTCTCACGTATTCAATGCTGAATTGTATGGGGTGCAGGTCAATACGGAGAGATCGATCAAACATGCTATGCAAGAGAGCCTTCCTATTGTGGTGGTTATCAATAAGGTCCGCATCGTCTTCAACTTTGCTTACTGTGTCAGCTATCTTTTGTCTAACTTATCATTCTACAATCCTCGGACTTATTGTTTCTGAATATATATTATACCTCGCTCAAACTATCTTTTGAAGTGTGTACTTAGATGGTGCATATTAGTGCAGGTTGATAGGTTGATTACAGAACTCAAGCTGCCTCCTACAGATGCATATCACAAGATTCGTCATACCTTGGAGGAGATCAATAATCTTGTATCTCTGTATTCATCTGGAGTGGATGGAGTGCCATTGATTGATCCAGTGTACGGAAACGTCTGCTTTGCAAGTGCAACTGCCGGGTGGTCATTCACGCTCTTATCATTTGCTAAGCTTTATGTCAAGCTTCATGGAATTCCATTTGATGCTGCAAAATTTGCTACAAAGCTTTGGGGTGACACTTATTATCATCCGGATACTCGTACATTCAAGAAGAAGCCGCCTTCTGGTGGAGGAGAGCGTGCGTTTGTGCAGTTTATTTTGGAACCACTATATAAGATTTACAGTCAGGTCTGATACTCCACTTCAGTGATGCATGTGCTTCAGGGGTAGTCGGTGGCTTGTTGTATGCAAAGTTCTTGTTTGAGACATTCTCTATACACAACTTTGGTCAATTAATGGTCTTCTTGCACAGGTAACAATGACGAGTTAATTTCTGTTGTATTCCTATCACTGACAGTCGCACTGTTATTCAGGTGATCGGTGAACATCGGCGAAGCGTGGAAAACACTTTAGCAGAGCTAGGAGTCACTCTAAGCAACGCTGCGTACAAGCTCAATGTGAAACCTCTGCTTAAGCTAGCATGCAGTGCAGTTTTTGGATCAGGGACCGGTTTCACAGACATGCTGGTTAAACACATCCCGTCTGCCAAAGATGCTGCTGTTACCAAAGTGGAGCACACTTATACTGGCCCTCAGGATACTGAACTGGCTCAATCGATGCGAGACTGCAACGCAACTGGACCTCTGATGGTTAATGTGAGCAAGCTTTACCCAAAACCCGATTGTAGTGTTTTTGATTCTTTTGGAAGAGTCATAAGTGGTACTATTCGTACTGGGCAATCTGTACGAGTTCTTGGGGAGGGCTATTCACCTGATGATGAAGAAGACATGGCCGTCAAGGAAGTAACGAAGCTTTGGGTTTATCAAGCTCGCTACCGTATTCCAGTCACGGAGGCCCCAGCGGGATCCTGGGTGCTCATCGAAGGAGTGGATGCTTCGATTATCAAGACAGCAACCCTTTGCAATGAGTACTATGACGAAGATGTATACACATTCCGTCCGTTACAGTTTAATACTCTCTCAGTGGTGAAGACTGCGACTGAGCCTCTAAATCCTAGTGAGTTACCTAAAATGGTGGAAGGTCTTCGGAAGATCAGCAAGAGTTATCCACTTGCGATCACGAAAGTTGAAGAGTCGGGTGAGCATACAATATTGGGCACTGGCGAAATATTTTTGGACTCTATTATGAAGGACTTACGTGAGCTCTACTCAGAAGTAGAAGTTAAAGTAAGTCACATCATCATAATGTATTATTTTACAGAGGAGCTGCTATCGGTTATTGGAGTTTGCTTATTCTACCGTAGTTAAAACCTTAAGCACTTCATTACATGCTTTGACATTTCACGTCGTCGTTCCTTTACATAGCGATATGAAGTACGTGAGTTTCCTCTTGCCGTTTTCATTTTAAATCGATATTAGTGTTTACCGCATGTGAGGTTGCTCATTCTGACGGTATGCCGGTACTATGTGTCTACCAGGTGGCCGATCCAGTCGTTTCCTTTTGTGAGACTGTAGTGGAGACATCCTCCTTGAAATGCTTTGCTGAGACGCCAAACAAGAAAAACAAATTGACTATGGTAAATCGCATTATCTTCTCGGGTCTTTTCTTATAACGTAACGTTGAACTTGGTATTCCTGGCGTCATTAGTTGGCAGTAGCTTTCATTTATGTAACCAAGAGGGCTGCCTGAATTTATTGTCAATTCTGCTCATGTGAAAGCTAAACTAAAACATTTAACTAGCCCATTTTCTGCAGTAGATTCAGCTTGTCCAGTTGCTAATGGAGAACCCTGAAAATTTTGCAGGTAGAGAATGATATAGTGAATCACATCGATAACATACGGTATTGAATTTGCAAATTTGTGTGTTCAGATAGCAGAGCCTCTAGAGAAGGGGTTAGCGGAGGACATCGAAAGTGGAGTCGTATCTTTAGACTGGCCTCGGAAGCGGTTGGGTGATTTTTTCCAGACCAAATATGACTGGGATCTTTTAGCAGCACGGTCTATTTGGGCCTTTGGTCCAGATAAACAAGTACGAAAATCTGCTCTTTATCTTTGAAATATTGCGATTTCTCTATCTTGTATAGGGTTATCTCCATGGATGACTATTTTTTTTTTCTTTTGAAGTGTTGTGTCGTACAGTTGGGTTTTGTGCCTGTTTGAGGTTTGATATTTTCTAGTTTATAAATAATCTAAATCTTTTAGCTTGGATGCTGGGCACTTTGTTTTGACTGATATATTTTGTGTCGCTACAGGGTCCAAATATTTTGCTGGATGATACACTACCTAGTGAAGTGGATAAAGGCCTTTTAAATTCTGTGAAAGACAGCATCGTTCAAGGGTATCTTCTCATAGAATATTTGAACATTTCTTGTTGCTAATAGCCTCATTCTTTAATGTTTCATCTTGTTATTATGATTATCCCAAGTCTATTTGTAGTTTTGAGTTGATCTTTTGCACAGTATATTACTTGATTTGGCTTTTTTGATAGCATCTGTATATGTGATAAGTGTGCTGAATTCCTATGTGATCGCGTACTTTTCTTTTCGCAGGTTTCAGTGGGGAGCACGAGAAGGACCCTTGTGTGATGAACCTATTCGCAACGTGAAATTCAAAATTCTGGATGCCACTATTGCCCAAGAACCGCTACATCGTGGTGGCGGGCAGATTATTCCAACCTCTCGACGTGTCGCATACTCGGCTTTTCTCATGGCAGCTCCCCGGTTAATGGAACCAGTCTACTTTGTAGAGGTACCTCAATGTTATTTGTCGCCTGTGTTAGTCCTATTTTACTTATCATCTATTCCGTCATTGTAATGTATAAATGTATGTGTGCGCACAAAGCTGATCATCGTAAGTCTGGCTTTTTTACTCGGTAGGTTTGATTTGATACAGATACAAACACCTGCAGATTGCATGTCTGCAATCTACACGGTCCTGTCTAGGAGAAGAGGGCATGTCACTGCAGATATACCAAAACCTGGTACTCCAGCATATATCGTTAAGGTAACAACTAAGTGCAGAACTGACGTACTTTTCCGTAGAGTTGGTTCATTAGGTTGAATTTGTTTAGTTGCAATTTAGCATGCTCCTTCCAACTGAACGTAAATGTCATGTCAGGTATTACTGTAGCGTGTGAGTTTCTGCATGTAGATAATGTCTTTATTAAACCAGTGACTCGTTCTGATCAGTCTCTGGTAACTTCAAACGTAGTGTCTTAACATTCAGTCGGGCAGGGTTTTCCTTCTTATGAGCTAATTGTTTCAAAACTGAACGCTGACAATGCGCTTGGTCGTCTCGTCGTGTTGGGTTGCAGGCATTTTTGCCAGTAATTGAGTCATTTGGTTTTGAAACTGATCTGCGCTACCACACACAAGGGCAAGCTTTTTGTGTTTCGGTCTTTGACCATTGGTCGATTGTACCGGGTGACCCGCTAGACAAGTCAGTTTTGCTGCGCCCACTAGAGCCCGCCCCGGTTCAACACTTGGCCCGTGAATTTATGGTTAAAACCAGGCGTAGGAAGGTATTAAATTCTGCTATCTCCACCTGCAACTGCCGGCTGCTGTTAATACTCTATTTTGTTAGTACATAAAATTGGATGAAACTTGCTGCTTCCTCTCATCATTATCTGCCTGGCATTGTAGTTTTTAACTAAAGTGTAGGCTTTTTCTGTGATTTTCATAGATTAATTTCTCAATTCTTGGTTGGCACTCCAGGGTATGAGTGAAGATGTGAGTATCAACAAGTTCTTCGATGATCCCATGCTTTTGGAGCTCGCACGACAAGATGCTGATTTGCAACAGATTCTTTAGGTTTTCTGCATATAGTTTTAGTCCTAATAGAAGAGAAGCTCCGAGAGTCGCGTTTGGCCACATGGGTAGCCAAATGTCTTTTATAAGAATGTACCGGTACCTGTTTCCAACTGAAGTGGGGAAATTTTGTTTAACTTGACACTGGGAATGTAAAAAACTCAAAATCGGGTTGCAGTGCTATATCGTGCTTCTGTGACATATTCCAATTCTTTGTTTTCACTCAATTCCCCTCGACATCTTCAGATGATGCGACAAAAGGTACTCTAGTCTTTAACCTGCAGCGTTCAGTGTGTATCACACTTATCATACTAATTGCATGCATGACTGATTGACAAGACGTTGCATTTTACCGGCTGAAGTATGAAAACAGAATTGTGCACTGCAATTCTCCTAACGATAGAATTTATAAATTCTAAAATTAGTAGAACCTCAACACAACCTGCGTTGTAATGAGACACTACTGGCATGAGCATAATTGTGAAAGAAAACACATACGATATCCTTTTAAAAGTTACCCACAGGATAGTTGGTGTCGTATCCACATGTATTAATGACATTAAAGCGTCAATAATGTCAGAACCACTGTCCATCAACCATAAAATCTTCAAACCATGAACAAGAGTAGCTGATCAAAGGAGGCACCTTCTGTGGAACTCTGGTTTAAACTTGAACTGTACAACTATTCATAAAACATGAAAGCAAAGCTACAAAGACTACTTGATAACAGGAATTTATTGTCTGCCTGTCAACCAGGGAACAACCTACGTGCATATTGTTCAATTGCAGAGCCTGGATACTGCCTCGATCTGGGCAGGGACAGAGCTGTCCAGAAAAAACTGCAAACGGAGTTGCAACAAATGCACAACGTGTGAAGATCTGGCGTTTTGAAGATCCAAGGGACCTTCGTCTATAGACGGAAGGCTTTCCACTAGGAATAGGAGACGGAAATGCAAACGTACCCCAGTACACAAAAATGGTACGATAGTGTCGTGCCACCCAGTCGCCACCGCCAGAACCTAGTATCAACATGAGAGAGGCCAGTAGGGCTGCTAGTTTCTTACTCCAGATCAATAACCAATTCGTGCAAGTACTCTACAGGTCACAGTCCGGGTGAAAAGGCACAGCACGAGAGTGGCTAATTGCAGGCTCAGTGGCTCACACTTTTAGTGCCGTTAGAAGCAGGTTCAGTTTCACCGAAGCTAGACTTCAACCAGCCCTCCTTCTTGGCCTGTTCCACATACTGAGCTGCTTTATCCTTTGCACCAGGGTTATCAAGGGAAAGATCATCAAGTGCATCCATCACTCGACTAAAACCCTTGGTCATTTGACTGGTAGTAATAAGTCCCTCGTTAGCGCATTCCTGAAGTAGCATGAGAAGGCGGGGATTGTTTTTCTCTATGGCCATCACTACGGCTTTCTTCACAACCTCGTGATGGAAGAAAGACATATCAAGATCACGAATACATTGGCAAGCCTCGCCTAGTTCACCCCCTGCCTCAAACTCCTCCAGAAGCGACTTGATCTTATCCTTTGCATCTTCTAGAGCTTCCCCAGTTCCACCTCCACCCCAGCAACGTAAAATGCGCTCTCCTGCATGCCGTGCAGAGAGCACAGACTGGGCCATACGTACAATTTCCCTACCAAGAGATCCTTCAGCAAGCTGCTCGCTAATCTCTTCAAGATACAGAGGGGCCAAGATATCATCAATCACAGCACGGGCTAGAAACAAGGACAGCTCATTGGCTGCGTCGGGGATATCTAAGGCAGTGTCCTCTGCAGACTGGAGTAGCAGTGTGTATGCTCTTGCTATGCTTGCAATCGATATCACCTCTGCATACAATTCAGAAACCAAAATAGAAGCCATTTCCTTTTCCCGATACTTCCTGTGGATGGACAACCACGTCAAAAAAACAAATGAATATCGTATACAGAAGTCCACAAATGGCTTGGCTTAAATCAACTCATGTAGTCAATAACACGCTAGAGGCAACATTTTCAAAGGGCTAAAAATTATCTCAGTAAAGTGACATAGTCCAGGAACAAACCTGTCCATGGCCAGCGTAATCAACCTCTTCACAAACGCAGCATGGTAATCAGGAGCTGCCAGATCCTCCAAGCTTGTTACCACCTCATTAATGTCAGCAGACAGGAAATACTCCTGAATAATATTTGTCGCCTGGGCCTTGAAAGCCCGGGCTTCCTGCGACTCCGCAGAGCCTGCCATAAGCTCTGAGACCACTGCCCGAGAAAATGGTGCGCTAACCCACCCCTCCTCAACGGCCCTACAGCAAAGCATAAAAATTATCATGCGTCATGACGCACAAGTAAGACGACTTCATGTTAACACACTTTAATACCTGATGCACGACCCCAAAGCCTAAGCAACACCAATAAGCACTAAGGACTCGAATTGGAAATTAAGACTCACTTCGTTGTGAATGTCTCCAACTTTTCCTTGGCTTGAGGAATGTCAAGAGCAAGATCATGAATAGAGTCGGAGATCCTAGTGAACCCTTTCGACATTTGACTTGAAGTGATTAAACCCTCCTCTGCAGCCTCTTTAAGAAGAGACCAAATCTTCCCTTCAGCTGCTGGCTCTTCCATAGCCAATACGAGTGCCTTCTTCACCACTTCATGATGGAAGAACGGTACGTTCAGTTCGCGGATGCATCGGCATGCCTCGGCATTATCACCACTTTCCACATACTCCTTGAGAAGAGCAACAATCTTAGCCTGCACTTCAGCAACTGTAGTGTGCGTGCTACCACCCCATTTACGCTCAATTACTTCAGCGTGATGAGGCGCTGACAAATAGCTCTTTTCAGTTTTTTGAATAACCGCAAGTCCTTGAGAGCCCTCTGCCAATACCTTCATTGTCTTAGACAAGAACGCAGGGGGCAAGATATCATCAACCACAGCGCGGGCCAAAAAGATTGCCAAAATATCAACGGCCTCTGGAATATCCAAGATAAGGTCATCCACCGACTCCAGGAGGTTCGTAAACCCTTTGGCCAGCTGGTCCGGCTGTATTACATCAGCATATAGTGCTGAAAGCAGAACAGAAGCCATCTCTTTCTCCTTGTCATGGTGATCCATCGCCATGGAAATGAGCTTTTTCACGAAGTGATGATGAAAATTGGGGGACCCAAGGTTACTCAAATCAGTGGCCATACTTAAAACGTCACCTGACGCAAAGTACTCCTCAATGAGGCTTACGACCTTCTCTTTGTATTCTTCCAAAGACTGCGAAACTGGTGCTCCCACCAGTTGATAGGGCTCCTGAATCCAAAACATCAAAAAAGAAAATAATAATTTCAGCCAGGATCAAGTAACCTCCAACATCACAAAGATCTTACCCAAAGAAGAGATACTTAAGAAGCATTCGTTTGGGAAACCCCTAGCAACAATGGCTCATTTTACAACTAGCAGTTGATAGACAAAAGTATACTTCCTAAGTCAAATACTCCACATCTCAAATATTTCTAACTCAAGTATCAAAATCCAGAAACAAACACAGCCGCTTAGAAATCGTGCACTTCGTCCCAATGTGAAAGTTTGTGAGAAGTAAACTGCAAACCTCTTCACTGTCGTAATTCGGGTCGTTCCTATCCACCTCAATATCACCGTCAGCGGATAGAAGCTTACCCCAAGTGCCTTTCCCACCTCCACCACCTATTCACGCATTCGGAAACAAAATAAGTGAAGGAAATAACAGGAGGCAAAATTGTGCAACAGAAAGTACAAAACTAACAGTATACGTACCTGTATTATTTAATGGGTACAAAAAAGGTGAATCGTAACATACAGGGAATGGAAGAAATGGACCTACAACAAGAAAATCACCTTTCTTGGGTCTTCCATTCTTTCCAGAATGAGAATGTCGGTCCCTTTTGACCTCTGCACTGCCAACTGAAACGAGCTTCACGCCAGACTTTTCATGTTTCTCTGGCGACCCCGCAAGTTCAGGCATTGCGTGCTGCCCGTGAGAAACTGTTCTTACAAACTTCTTCCCTTCAGGCATACTATCTCGTCCATGAGATAACGATCTCATCAACTTCCGCTGCTCATCAGAGAGAAATCCAGGCGAAGACATTTTATGATAGACCTCGACGGTGGATCGCTGTTCTGAATTGGCAGTGCTCAAAGTGCGTTAAGCAGAGTGTTGCAAACAGTGTTTCCCTCGGCTTCACCAACCTGAAAAGAAAGGGCCAAGTGAGACGTGTGCAAATAAGAGGTTCCAGTTCAAATTGTTTCATAAGCAGGTTTCGCATACTTCCGTGGGGTTTAAGGAATTAATTATGAACATCCATCTAGTCAACTACCAACGACCACACTCAAAAGAATTGGCTTCTCAACAAGGGTAGCTGATGGATGCAAGCGCCAGATGAGTATGTTTGACAAAGCCCTAGAAATCACACTCTACGGCAAAGCTCAACTGCGAAAGGCGCACTATCGTCATTCCACAGCGACGACGAATAATCCACTGGTTAGCGGGTTACCCTACTCTCCAACAGTATCAGAAAGGTCAGATCCAGGGCACAAGGCCACTTTTACTCACAAAAAGTAGCAAAACTATCACAACAATGTCATCAATGCCAGCGCAGGTGTGATGCAAATCTTTCACCCGATCAGCAATGTAATTAGGGTGAACGCATTGAACACAAATCTGAGCTTAAGTTCGCAATGATACGACCAAAACCGACCCGCACTCTGTTACAAACGAACTCGTCCAAAACCCTACAACGACACATACACACACAAAATAAAAAAAAAAAACCAAAAACCAAAAAAAAACAAACCAAACCAAACCCAATACGAATTCGTAGACTAAAGAATCACCTCAGGTTACGCATCAAAAAACAGAAGAGCACCATACAGACTCAGCCCCAGCTCGCGGGAAAAAAACAAAACCAAACACCAAAAAGAAGAAACCAAACGCCCACATTGTGACGTACCCCCGCCCGAGCTCCACCTCACAGCATCCAAAACCAACATCACTTGAACTCCAGAGGAACAAAAATTCATCAATCGATACCGACCCTCCACAAATATCCAAAACAGAGCAAATTATTAAAAAAATCAAAAAATGTTTTCTTTTTCAAAACAATGCTCACAATGGAATGAAGCCGAAGCAGGAGGGAGGGCTGGCGTCGCCAACCCACAAGACCAGCTGTACACAATTGCGATCGCAGACACTTGTCTTCGCTCTCCACGAAAATCAAAACCTGTCAGTGTAACTTGACTCTGTGTGTGTGTGTGTGTGTGTGTCTGTGTGTCTGTGTGCGCGCAAGTAACGGCAGAGAACAGTGCGCGAGGGAATTGAGATGCAGCTCCGCTTCTTCTCCTCCTTCTCTTCCTTCTCCTCCTCTTCGATAGCAACAGCGGAGATGGCGAGGATGGACGTTGTCAGTTAGGGCTAATGGAGGAGAGCAGTAGCAGCTGCTGACTCATCGACCACGGACGCTTATCTGAACCCTAGTTCTAAATGCGGATAGATGCTTCTTGCGTCCGCCATCTGCCATCCTCTCTCTCTCTCTCTCTCTCTCTCTCTCTTTCTAGGTCTACTTGACACCGCGATGAAGGAAAGGAACCAGCAGCCAGGCTACGAATCAATCCACCACAGTCGTCATCTACGTCGCTCTGCACCTCGTCGTCGCCCTGCCATCGCTGCTGCTGCTTCTGATTCTCTGCCGTCTTCGTCTCCCTCCCTCCCTCCTTCCTTCCCTCTTCCCTCTCCCCCCTAATTCAGCAAAACATCGTCGTCGTCGTCTGCTAAAGCCATTCCTCTTTTTCCGATTTGGCAGAACAGGCTTGAGCCCTCCACGGATGAAAGCTTCACGAAGAAGACGGACCGGCCTCTTCTGGCCCTTGTCTACTCATTCCCCGAGCATGCATCGAATAATTTCAGTTCCAGGCAATCACAGTTTTGGATTATCGACTACTCCCTTAAAAAGTCAATACCTGCTTCATGTACCTTGTCATGTCTATAAGTTACTTTCTTTTTTAAATGACAAAAAATGTCAAAAAAATGAAAAAATGAAAATAAAAATAAAGGATGTTGCCACATGGGTTTCACCCGAACAAATTACTACCTGAGTGTCACGTTACAATTTTTTAATTTTTCCAGTTTCATCGCTTCAGTTTTTAAGGAGTGGATGGTAAAAATCCGACACCAACTCAGGAGAGAAATTAAACTGGAGTGAACAAAAATGGGTTGCAGAATCAGCAGCAGCAGCAGCGAGAGATAAAGAGAGAAACAGAGGAGTTCATTCATCGAAGCGCCACACTTGAGAGAGAGCCGATGAAGGATCCAGCACGAATAGCTGACAAAATGGATAAGATGAGAATATTTCTTGTGTGCGACTTTGATCTTTTGCATGACACCGTGTGTTGCCTTGTCAACGCAGTTGCACTCACCCCCCCCCCCTCCTTCCCTGGCGTCCCTCTTTCCGCCGTCCTCAATAGTCTCTCGGGACAGTCACTAGGCTTCGTGATTGAAGCCATCGATGCTAGTTTCTTCTCGACGAATCAACTTCGGCCGAAAGCCACCGCCCACAAGCACGCCGACAAATCCCCGGGTCTTGGATTGGCAAACCTTGACGCCTCATCCAACCTTCACTTTATCCACGTCCTGAAATCTCTTGTTCGAAGCGGCGAATGAACGCCGTCTAGTCACTCGCGCAGGTGTTTTTTCTTCTGGATTCGACGTCGGCAGGATCTTCGGTGTCGGTGCTTACAGGCGCCGTGGTTTCCATACACATGAGAGTCTGGAGCGAAGGGATTGTAGCCATGAAATCAGTATGATGTGCTGGTCTTTGTGGTGTGATTCACACACACACACACACATCATGTGCGAAACAACAGATGATCACCATTGTGCACACATTTCATTCCATCACCACACACTTCAAAATTCTTCACTACTCAGTGCAACAGCACAAAGCTTCATGTGGTGTCTCAAACGTCTGATCCCATGTCTTCATGGGATTTTCATTCGAACTGATGTTGTGAGTTTGGAGTTTTGTTTTTTCCACTTCAAGTCACACTTCTCGAGGACAAAATTCAGGTTGCCAACTCCAGTTTTTATTGGCTGTGTTTGTTTGCTGTTTCATGTTTCTAGAATAGCTTGGTTTTCTGGTCTCGTCCAGTTGGTCATGGAGAATACAAATTGTGTAAAAATATTTCAAGTTAGTTGGTTTTATTATCTTTTGATGTTTGGTAAATTTATATGTAAAGTTTTCTTATTTTACTAGATATAAATTTATCAGACAATAATTAAAGAATGCAAATTTTCATTTTTTGGTTTACAATTTCAACAGTTAATTCCTGTAGCAAATAAAATAAGGGTTACAAATACAATAATTCCTGTAGCAAGTACAATAAGTTACTATTGATAAAATCAACAAGTTTTTTCAATCATTTGGAATGGTTCATAATTTCTAAGGTTTTAAGATTGGTATAAATCAGCTATTCTTGAAAATAAAAACAAATGTAGAAAATATTTTCATATTTGATTTCATTTATGTCAAAATTTATAACTATTTTTTATTCGAATTTATGAGAGAAAATTATTAACAAATTCTAGTTAAATTTGATTTTCTGTGCTTCTAAAAAATGAACATACATTCTTAAATTTACTTTGTTTTAGTTTGATATATTTTTAACTTTGAATATTTGATTCAAAGTTTTTATGTAATCAAATATCATTTCATAATTATAGAACTTTAATTTTCACTTGAAAAATTCTTATTTTAAATTTTTTGGCTACTTTTTTACTAACTTTAATTTAATCTATTCATAATTTGAGTAACATTTTAGAAATCACATTGTACATAATGTTGATGTATTTTATTTTATTTTCTCATTTCTATTAACTTGTGTTCATTCATAAAATTGCTATCATTTAAAATTATCATTAAATATATATTTTTAAAGTAACCAACGTAACTACACACCTATTTACTCATATTCTTATCTTAGATGTATAAATGTTTAATATGTTTGATAAGATAAGTAAATCTTTAATTCAACACAACAAAATTTTAAAATTTGGTTCTATTATATTATTTTATAGAGATATAAATAATTATAAATTTTTTGAAAGATTTTTTTATATTATTCTCAAAATATATTAATATATATATATATATATATAGAGAGAGAGAGAGAGAGAGAGAGATTAACAAAAAAATACTCATAAAATTATAAGAAAAATATTACATACTAATTTCATACTGATTTCATACTATTTATTAAACTAGTTATTAATCTTTCATACTAAAATCAAAAGTAGTTTGATTCTAATTTATGAATAAAAATATTTTAAAAAAAGAAAAAAAGATAATAAGTATATTGGAAAGTAATAAAGAATAAGAAAATAAATTTAATAGAATTATGCGATGAAAATGAAAATTGTTATTTAAGATTATGTATATTCTTAATCCAAAAATTAATAATTTAATTTTTTTACTTTTGTATTAACAAAAACCATTAGATATTTTTAGCAAATATGATAATTTAATTTCTAATAAATATTTAGAATATGACATAATATTATCTTTTGTATTTATATAAAAGTATATCCATATTTATGCCAAAAAAAGTATATATTTTAAAAATAGTATAAAATAAGAATCACCAAAATGATATTATAAGCTATTAATGATTTATTTGTATAAAAATGGAATTATTCATGCATTTTTTAGTAATTTACAACAAAGATGCTAATATATTTAGTTTTTATTTACTAAAATTAAAAATATTTTTTATATAATTTTAAAAATAAAAATATAAAATATAAAATATTTAATTATTTGTGATTTAGTGATATTAATATAATGAATTAATGGAAAATATATTTTTATATAATCTAAAAAAATGAAAGTAATTTTAATCATTGCATAATAAGTATTGAATTAGATTTTGAAATTTATTTGATTATATATATATATATATTTATATTTTTTAAATAATATTAATAATAAATTTTATAGAATAATTAATTAATATTTAATTATAATAAGATATTATTAAATATTACTAAATATATTAGCTTATAAATTTAAAAGTCTAATATCTTTAATTGTTCAAATTATCATTAATACAATTACAAACATCAGATGAAAATGTAAATCTTTGACATCTATTATTTAAATCAATAACTTATTGCATATAATTTCAAACAAACAAATAATTGGATTGATATATATTATTTTTAATAAAATATTTTTACTTCTATTATAGATTGTAATATTAAATGATATATGATACATATATAATACCTATAATTCAAAAAACCATTATTGATTTTGTTGATTTTTTGCAACAATAAACTATCTTAAAATACTTGTGACGATTTTATAACCTAATATTTTTATCAATAATGATATTATGACAATTAGGATGGTATCACAGACATACATATTTACTCTAATATTTACCTACATGATTAAATAGAGATAGGTAAAAGTAGATTTATTTCATAATATTTTCTAGAAAAAGTTTCCTAAAAGCTTCATAGACATTGCTTTGACTTTACATGTATTTGTAGTTGATTGGTAGGTTAGAAATTTGGTCAAGAAGTTAACTATGTATTCATAGCTTGTGGAACAAGCTAACTATGTAGTGCACACATAGAAAACTTTTCTTGTAAGTTAAGATACATGATTTAGAAAGTCAACATGTTTTAGAGGTCCTATAAGACATCGCCATATAGCTCTTAGTTAAAAGTACATATGGATGTAAGAGAAGCCTTCTTCATTCTTGTCAACACCTTTCTAGCCATTGGTCTTATTTTAAAGACTTTTTAATGTTCTTATCTTTGGCAATAGCCATTCTTGTTTAATATTATATCATCTTTGAGTGATTATCTAGTCTTTTTAAGTCACAAAAAAGAGTCATGATCTTTTAGCTCTTCAAGATTTATATCCTTGATAGATGGTAAACAACACAATAGTTGATTTACCAATTCCAAACATTTTCATGAAATTTACTCATTCAATAGGTTTTATTTGTATATCAATCAAATCAATACACAACAATACCACCATGTGGAACTTTAACAACATAACCAAAGTTGACTTTGAATATATTTGGCATAAAGCATGAACAAAATTGAGCAGTAATATCTCATATGTGGAAAAATTCTTGAAGGTAATTAATTTTTTTAATTCTTAAAGTTAATTACTTTAATACAAGGAATTATATAAAAATAAATAGAAATCGGTAAATGTCAAGGATAAGAACTTGATGAAGGCAAATAAATAAGTGAGACTTTTCTCAAAATAAAATGATAAAATAGACATAAAAAAGTATGTATGTTCAAAAGTAACTAAAATGGCTATTGCCAAAAAAATAAGAAAGCTAGAGACTTTTAAAGCTAGACTAGAAGCAAGAAATGAGTTGACAAGAGTGAAGAAGGCTTCATTCTTGCCTCAATATGTACTATCTACCTAAGAGCTACATGACAATGTTCTATAGGACCTCCGACATGTGTCTAATTTGCAAGATACATGTTTTAACTTCCAAGGCAAGTTTCTTATATATATACCATATTGTTAGCTTATACCACAAGCTACTAACATGTATAATATATGGCTAATTTGATAGCCAAGTTTTTAACCTATCAATCACTTATAAATATGTACAAAGGTGAAATTGCATCTATAAAGCTTATAAAAAGCTTTTCTATAACATATTGTAAAATAATCTATTTTTAATTACTTTTATTAATTAATATTATCTAGATAACTATCAAAATAAATATGTATATCTATGAAAATAAGTATAATAATATTTTGTGGAGAAGTTTTGTAGAAGCAAATTCAACTTTACAAGTATATTGAAGTAATTAGTAGATTAGAAATTTGGCCAACAAATTGACCACTTATTACACATGTTGGCTATTTGTTGTACAAAATGGCAATGTGACACACATGTTGGAAACTTGCCTTATAAAATAGATATGAGTCTTGAAGTTAGACATATGTTGAATGACTTATAGAACGTTTCCATATAGTTCTTTAAATAGATAGTATATTTAGAGACAAAAATAAGGCCTTCTTCATTCTTATCAATACATTTTTTTATTTTAAGAGTCTCAATTCTTCTTGACTTTGGCAATACCCATTCTCATTTCTTCTTGAATATATATATATATATATATATATATATATATATATATATATACTTTTTTATTTTATTTTTATTGTCTCTCTTTGATGTGCATCTCACTTAGTTATTTATATTCTTTGAATTTTGGTCTTTAATACACAATCACTTAATTTTTTTTTCTTTGTAATTATTCAAATGATTTTGGATTAAAAAAACTTGGTATAAATTTGTATGAATAAGTTTTTTTTTTAAAGAAACCATTAATATAATATATTTTAGGATTCATTTTTGTTGGTACTTTTAATCTCTAATGGACAAAAAAGCCAAACAATGGTTTATTTTTTTTGAACAAGCTCCTTTGAATTCAATATTATTATTTTCATTATTTTCTAAAACTTTTATTTATTATTGAAAATTTAATGGGCTTTGAAACAAGATATCATACACAAGATTTTGACATTTCTATCATGAATTATGGGATTTTTAAGGTTAATGTCAACTTTTGGACATTTTTCATAGCCACTAGTACTGCATCAAAATCTGCTCAAATCTACCCCAAAAAAAAAAAAAAAAAAAAAAAAAAAAACTTTTCTGTGCTACTTTGGCCCATTTTTAATCATTTCAGCAAAATAAAGAAATCAGTTTTTTGCAAGGTGAACCCTACTATGTGGGTACAAAATGGCTTCAACTTCCGGAATCTAAAAATAAAGAATAGTATATTACAGTAAATCTAGTTATAATATTTTGTAAAAATACATATATTTTAATGCAATGTGCATATAATATAATTTTATATATCAACAAATTGAACATATTCATGGGAAATTATTCGTATTAAAAAATTAATTATATATAGGATATTCTAAATGATAATATATATT